AGAAGTAGAGAAAGAAGGAAGAGAAGTAGAGAGAGAAGGAAGAGAAGTAGAGAAAGAAGGAAGAGAAGTAGAGAGAGAAGGAAGAGAAGAGAGAAGGAAGAGAAGAGAGAGAAGGAAGAGAAGTAGAGAGAGAAGGAAGAGAAGTAGAGAAAGAAGGAAGAGAAGTAGAGAGAGAAGGAAGAGAAGAGAGAGAGAAGGAAGAGAAGAGAGAGAGAAGGAAGAGAAGTAGAGAGAGAAGGAAGAGAAGTAGAGAGAGAAGGAAGAGAAGTAGAGAAAGAAGGAAGAGAAGTAGAGAAAGAAGGAAGAGAAGTAGAGAGAGAAGGAAGAGAAGTAGAGAGAGAAGGAAGAGAAGTAGAGAAAGAAGGAAGAGAAGTAGAGAGAGAAGGAAGAGAAGCAGAGAGAGAAGGAAGAGAAGTAGAGAAAGAAGGAAGAGAAGTAGAGAAAGAAGGAAGAGAAGTAGAGAGAAGGAAGAGAAGTAGAGAAAGAAGGAAGAGAAGTAGAGAAAGAAGGGAAGAGAAGTAGAGAGAGAAGGGAGAAGTAGAGAGAGAAGGAAGAGAAGTAGAGGGAGAAGGAAGAGAAGCAGAGAGAGAAGGAAGAGAAGAGAGAAAGAAGAGAAGTGGAGAAAGAAGGAAGAGAAGAGAGAGAGAAGGAAGAGAAGTAGAGAAAGAAGGAAGAGAAGAGAGAAAGAAGGAAGAGAAGTAGAGAGAGAAGGAAGAAGTAGAGAGAAGGAAGAGAAGTAGAGAAAGAAGGAAGAGAAGAGAGAAAGAAGGAAGAGAAGTAGAGAGAGAAGGAAGAGAAGTAGAGAGAGAAGGAAGAGGAGGAGAGGGAGAAGGAAGAGAAGAGAGAGAGAAGGAAGAGAAGTAGAGAGAGAAGGAAGAGAAGTAGAGAAAGAAGGAAGAGAAGTAGAGAGAGAAGGAAGAGAAGTAGAGAAAGAAGGAAGAGAAGTAGAGAAAGAAGGAAGAGAAGTAGAGAGAAGAAGAGAAGTAGAGAGAGAAGGAAGAGAAGTAGAGAGAGAGAAGGAAGAGAAGTAGGAGAGAAGGAAGAGAAGTAGAAAAGAGGAGAAGTAGAGAAAGAAGGAAGAGAAGTGAAGAGAAGGAAGAAAGTGAAAGAAAAGGAAGAAGAGAAAGGAAGGAAGTAGAAAAGAAGGAAAGAGAAGTAGAGAAGAGAAAAGGAAGAGAAGTAGAAAAGAAGAGAAGTAGAGAGAAAAGGACAGGAAGTAGAGAAAGAAGGAAGAAAGTAGAGAGAAAGAAGAAAAGAAGGAAGAGAAGTGAAAGAAGGAAGGAAGTGGAAAAGGAAGAGAAGTAGAGAGAAGGAAGAGAAGTAGAGAGAGAAGGAAAGGTAGAAAGAAAGAAGAGTAGAGAGAAGGAAGAGAAGTGAGAAAGAAGGAGAGAGAAGAGGAGAAGGAAGAGAAGTATAGAAAGAAGGAAGAGAAGTAGAGAGAGAGAAGGAAGAGAAGTGAGAGAAGAAAGTAGAAAGAAGAGAAGTGAGAAAGGAAGAGAAGTGAGAGAGAAGGAGAAGAGAAGTAAAGAAAAGAAGGAGAAAGTGAAAGAAGGAAGAGAAGTGAGAGAAAGGAAGAAGTAGAAAGAGGAAGAGAAGTAGAGAAGGAAGAGAGTAAGAAAGAAGGAGAGAGAGAAGGAAGAAAGTGAAGAGAAGGAAGAAGTAGAGAGAGAAGGAGAAGAGGAAGTAGAGAAGAAGGAAGAGAAGTAGAGAAAGAGGAAGAGAAGTAGAGAGAGGAAGAGAAGAGAGAGAGAGAAGGAAAGAAGTAAGAGAGAAGGAAAGAAGTAGAGAGAGAAGGAAGAGAGTAGAAGAAGAAGTAGAGAAAAAGAAGGAAGAGAAGTGAAGGAAGAGAGAAAGAAGGAAAGAGAAGTAGAGAGAGAAGGAAGAGAAGTGAAAGAAGGAGAAGAGAGAGAAGGAAGAGAAGTGAGAAGGAAGAAAGAGAAAGAAGGAAGAGAGAAGTAGAGAGAAGAAGGAAGAGAGAGAGAAGAGAAGGAAAGAAGGAAGAGAAGTGAGAGAAGGAAGAAGAGAGAAGGAGAGAAAAGAAGAGAAAGTAGAGAGAAGGAAGAGAAGTAGAGAGAGAAGGAGAGAAGTGAAAGAAGGAAGAGAAGAGAGAAGGGAAGAAGAGAGAAAAGAAGGAGAGAAGTAGAGAAGAAGGAAGTAGAGAGAAGGAAGAGAAGTAGAGAGAGAAGGAAGAGAAGTAGAGAGAGAAGGAAGAGAAGTAGAGAAAGAAGGAGAAGAGAAAGAAGGAAGAAAAGAGAAGGAAGAAGAGAGAGAGAGGAAGAGTGAGAAAGAAGGAAGAAGTAGAAAGGAAGAAGAGAGGGAGGAAGAGAAGTGAAAAGAGGAAGAGGTAGAGAAAGAAGGAAGAGAGGTAGAGGAGGAAAGAAGGAAGAAAGGAAGAGAAGCAGAGAGAAGGAAGAGAAGTAGAGAGAGAAGGAAGGAAGGAAGAGAAAGTAGACAGATCAAATCACTATCCTAAAATGTGACCAGAATAACACATACGTTAATTATATAAATTAGTATAATGATTAACCTCTAAAATCTGATTAAAAAACAATATTTCTTTCAAATTAATTAATGAAAAATTATCAAATGACGTTTTTTTTTTAATTATACAGGTTAAGTCCACCTAGACAATGTGAGCCCAAAAATTTTATGCTTTTCATCGAATTTCTTAATAACTCGGAATCAATATAGTTCGCATTACACACTCCACAGACCATGTAGCATCTATTTTGTTAACCCATTTCGTAACTCATTTCCTCCGTCATTAACCCCATTTCGTAACTCATTTCCTACGTCATTAACCCCATTTCGTAACTCATTTCCTATGTCATTAACCCATTTGTAACTCATTTCCTATGTCATTAACCCCATTTCGTAACTCATTTCCTACGTCATTAACCCCATTTCGTAACCCATTTCCTACGTCATTAACCCCATTTCGTAACCCATTTCCTACGTCATTAACCCCATTTCGTAACTCATTTCCTACGTCATTAACCCCATTTCGTAACTCATTTCCTACGTCATTAACCCCATTTCGTAACTCATTTCCTACGTCATTAACCCCATTTCGTAACTCATTTCCTACGTCATTAACCCCATTTCGTAACTCATTTCCTACGTCATTAACCCCATTTCGTAACTCATTTCCTACGTCATTAACCCCATTTCGTAACTCATTTCCTACGTCATTAACCCCATTTCGTAACTCATTTCCTATGTCATTAACTCCATTTCGTAACTCATTTCCTACGTCATTAACTCCATTTCGTAACTCATTTCCTACGTCATTAACCCCATTTCGTAACTCATTTCCTACGTCATTAACCCCCATTTCGTAACTCATTTCCTCCGTCATTAACCCCCATTTCGTAACTCATTTCCTATTTCATTAACCCCATTTCGTAACCCATTTCCTACGTCATTAACCCCATTTCGTAACCCATTTCCTACGTCATTAACCCCATTTCGTAACTCATTTCCTACGTCATTAACCCCATTTCGTAACTCATTTCCTACGTCATTAACCCCATTTCGTAACTCATTTCCTACGTCATTAACCCCATTTCGTAACTCATTTCCTACGTCATTAACCCCATTTCGTAACTCATTTCCTACGTCATTAACCCCATTTCGTAACTCATTTCCTACGTCATTAACCCCATTTCGTAACTCATTTCCTACGTCATTAACCCCATTTCGTAACTCATTTCCTATGTCATTAACTCCATTTCGTAACTCATTTCCTACCTCGTACTTTCCATTCGTAACTCATTTCCTACGTCATTAACCCCATTTCGTAACTCATTTCCTACGTCAGTAACCCCATTTCGTAACTTTCCTTTCCTATTTCATTAACCCCATTTTCGTAACTCATTTCTACGTCATTAACCCCATTTCGTAACTCATTTCCTACGTCATTAACTCCATTTCGTAACTCCATTTCCTACGTCATTAACCCCATTTCGTAACTCATTTCTCCTACGTCAGTAACCCCATTTCGTGAAAAACTCATTTCCTCGTCATTAACTCCATTTCGTAACTCATTTCTACGTCATTAACTCCATTTCGTAAACTCTTTCCTCGTCATTAACCCCCATTCATGGCTCATTTCCTCACGTCATTAACCCCTCATTTCCTACGTCATTAACCCCATTTCGTAACTCATTTCCTACGTCATTAACTCCATTTCGTAACTCATTTCCTACGTCATTAACCCCCATTTCGTAACTCATTTCTACGTCATTAACCCCATTTCGTAACTCATTTCCTACGTCATTAACCCCATTTCGTAACTCATTTCCTACGTCATTAACCCCATTTCGTAACTCATTTCCTACGTCATTAACCCCATTTCGTAACTCATTTCCTACGTCATTAACCCCATTTCGTAACTCATTTCCTACGTCATTAACCCCATTTCGTAACTCATTTCCTACGTCATTTTATAGTTCAGGTTTTCGTTATGAGCTTCGATGGTGACCGATCCGTCGAGCTTTTTGAGGAAGGAAAGATTTTCTGTTTTGTAAGTGAAGTGTACAATGTCTTGTTGTTCCTCCAGGTACGACATCAAGTTCCAGGCGTCGAGAGCCAGCGCGAAGCACGAGGAGGTCACGACGTGGTTGCTGTAGTAGATGCGGTCGTCGTAGCCCAGCATCTCCTTCGCCATCTCGTCGGTCAGCTTGACGGAGGGATCGCAGGCCGACAATTGGGGGTAATACCATCGCCTGAAGCGTTCCCTCGACTCAGGTTCCGAATACAAGCGGATGTCTCTCTTCTGCAGCTGCTTAAGGAGAACGAACAAACCCTCGGGAGTAAAGGTTGTGTTCTCCAAGTGGATCCCTGTGTAAGAGGTGTGAAGAGTACCAAGGAGGTTGACGAGTTTGGCCACAGAGGAGTCTTCTATACCCTGCAGGTGGACGTCCATCAGGGGCACCGTAGAACAAGGCAAGTCGTTTATTTCCTCATCCAAGATCGGAAAATCTATCTTAGCCTCCAGCCACAGTAGCTTTTGAAGGTATTTATTTATGTCCAGTAATGTAGAGAGACATTTCTTGTCCAGGACGCGCATCTTTATATACACCAGGTGACTGAAGGCCGCTTTAGATGGAAACTCGCGCATCACCTTCAGCGACACGCACCCGGCCAGTAAATCGACTTTGGCCATGACGTGTTCGGTAAAAAATGCTTTAACGATGCGGTCCATTTTGCCGTCGTTGCCGTACCTGTACTGAGAACTGCTGTCGAGCCACACGAATATATCCACTCGACACAGGAACCCGATGACCTTACTTAACTCTGAGTACGGCTTAAGTTCCTCCACGTTTAGAAATATTCTGGTGGGAGCGACGTTCATCAGCAGAGCCTCGAGAGGAATGAGCTGAACGTCGGCGGCGCTGACGTTCCACTCGTCCGGGTACTCCGACATCTCCACAATGTACTCCACCACCTGCGGCGCTCCCTTCACCTCGGCGACCAGGTCTAGGTTAAAGGTCAGGTTCTCGCTGCTCTCCTCCCCGTGGTTGAGCACCGAACCGATAGCCCTTCGCTCGTCCAACTCGGATAAATTACGAGACCACCTTTTCATTTTAGACAGGAGACCCCCTATAAACAGTGCCAGCCGGTAGGCGCACTGCGAGTCTCCCACTAACTGCCGCCACTTTTTAAACTCGACGATCTTGTGAACCGCGTACCAAGCAGCGAGAAACTCCTGCTGAACGGCGTGCACCGAGCTGAAGCCTCTCCCGCATGCCCCGTAATAATGACGCTGCTTGAACACGCTCGACACTAGAGTCCGACCCACCGACTCGGGGAACATGTTTGAGGTTTCTGTCTCCAGCTCCAACATTATGTCACCTTCCAATCTTTTATTTTTCCTGAAAGCTTCTAGAGATTTTCGTCCTGCCATCATAAGCCACTGTAATGCCTTAGTGCCGATGGTTCCCTCCGGGCTACCGACCGCTTTGTTAATTCTCCACAGTGTGAGGGTCCAGAGCATGTCGGTGGACGTGGTTATGTCGTCGTACGCGTCCGGCCTCTCCATATAACACTCGCACGCCTGTACGAGAGAGTCGGGGTACTTCAACACCTGACTCAGTCTACACAGGTTTTTTGTCAGATATTTTTTCAAGCATTTCGGGTCCGCCGTCGATGCTCTCCGGCCGACGTATTCTTCGGCCAGGGTGACGATTTCCTCCCGATTATAACCGTTCAGATGTAACCTCACCGGTGCGAGGTCGGCCCAATCCCGTCGTAGGCTGTCATAGCACGAGGGTAGAGCTAACATCACCGCGGACAGAGACTGGGATCCGGTGACGAGGTCCTTTACCTCTTGAGTACGTTCTGTGCTCAACTCTTCGGCGTCGTCGATCACCAGCAGTACGTGAACTTCTCTCAACCACGTCCTCACTTTATCCGCGCCGTGAGTCGTCGAGCACAGAGGAAGAATCACGCAGACGAAATCCTCTTCGTTCGACACAAAGGCCGTGCCAGACACGACAATGGTTGCCTGGTAACTGCCTATCAGACTGACCCGCTCGTCCTTCTGCGTCCAAGACGACGCCAGCAGCGTAGCCAGACACGACCGGCCACACCCCGCCTCTCCTCTGACGAGACAAACCGTGCCGTGGGAGCTCTCGTCGTCGGCAGCGAGTCCGGTCACTAGGGTCGCCACACCTATGTTCTGGCCCGGGTCTGGACTGTGGGTATAAGAGAACATTATCTCACCCACACAGTTCCTTCCTCCTGAGTGAGTCACTTAACCTAACTGTTATCTTTAAGTGTCCAACCCAGGAGGTCACCTAACCTAACCAAGTACAGTCAACAACAAAAATTTCTGCACTTTTATGGTGTTATACAATATGACACACCAGACCAAGAATTATGAACAACATTCACTTACATGGGTGATTCCTGTTAATTTCCCTGTATTAACTATGTGATATAAAATATACATCATACTGGTTATACCAAATTAACATGGCCTCAGTCAGTGATCGTTGCAGAGGCCATCAGACCTATGGGAGCAGAATATATTTTTGCTGACTGTACCTATAGCATACAGTGGCTGGAGGTCACCTAACCTAACCAAATACCCCCCAAGGCATGATTAGGTTAGGTTAATAATGGGATAAATAACCTGAGGTGTTTCCTAACCTAGCTTAACTTAACCTAGGGTGTCTTTTCTTCACATGATTCACTGATAGCTAAAAAGATAGACATACTGTACTGTACAGTCTCTCCTCGACTTATGACATATTTGACTTACGACAACTGGGACATACGGCGGCCGTGGTCATATAAAATACATTAAACATTACGTATTTTCGAGCTGTCTCCTCTGTTTCATCCAATTAATATAGTCTCCATGCTTAATTAAAAAATTATTGAGGTCCCGTGTGCATTCAGCTGACTACATTAAAGGTAAGTGCACAGTCACAATGTATTCATTTTTCATTATTGATTACTTTTACTGTATTTCATTTTAGAATTTCTATATACTTAGATTTCATATTTGTATTGTCAGAAAATATTGGATAAGTAAAGAAAATTTATAATTTTACCTTAATAAAAAGTGGAAATATTATTACCATTTATCTATACCGTCTCTCTATACTGTACACACACACACACACACATAGATATATACTACATACATACATACATACATACATACATACATACATACATACTACACACACACACACACACACACTCACACACACACACCTGACAACACATACTACTACTACTACTTTGCTGTCACTGGTAATCTAGTATGACGATCATCCAGCTATGATACAATGATGAGTTATGAGGGATGTCACCTAGGTTGGTGAGCTCTGAGGTGACTAGAGAGGCCGATACAGGACCAGCAGGACTACATCTAGCGTGGTAGGGGCTGTGGCTGCATCTTTTCGTCACTGGCACTTGTCTGCCTCGTTTTTCAGTCGGGCTAATTCGAAAGTATTGACACCTTCTCGTGTGGTGTTCCTCCAAGCGTTACAGTGTGGAGTGATCGTCTCCCAGGTGAGGGGGTCGATTTGGCACTATTACAGGTTTGTCATAAGACTATCATTATACCTTTTCAGTTGCCCGCCAGCGTTACGTTTACTATTCGTTAGGTGACTGTAAAGTAGCACACATATACACACACACATCAGTTTGATGGTGGTAGCTACTTCATCTTGGGATGGTGGATAGCTGAGATGGGTCAGCTCTGGAAGCTGAGGGACCTGCTGGGTAGTCAGGACATCCTCATCGGTGTTTCAGTTGAGCAGCGAATAGTAGTGCTCTTTCCAGTGCTGAAGGAGTCATCATCTTTAATTATGGAGTTACCGTCTGATGAGTGGAGGGGAGCTGTGCCATGAGTGATTAGCCCATAAAATGTTTTATTGGAATTGAAAAATTGTTGCATCTTGTGTTGATCTGCAAGGTTTTGCGTTTCATATGCTGTATTTTTAAACCAGTCGTTCTTTAGATTGTGAAGTTTGTGCTGCACTGCCGCTTTCTTCTTGCGGAAGGTATCAGCTTTGGTCCGAGACTGAGGATTGTTCTGCCAGCCAGTTAAAGCAGCATGTTTATCATCGACTAGTACATTGATTGCCGGGTCATTTTCATCAAATAGTCCTGGTGTATTCTTGGTATCTGGCCGAGGGTCTCTGCAGCTTTTTGTCATAACAGTGTTAAGAATACCCCATTCGGCACTGGGATTTGGGTTGTTGGTGATTGGGTTGTTTATCAGCCCATGTTCGAACTGCTCTCTGAGTGCATGTGCTACCGCTAGATTCTCCAGACGCTTAGTATTAAAACCTCTTATGGAGGCTTGCTGCCTTTGCCGTTTTGGGGCAGCATGAAGTGAGAGCTTGGCTCTGAGTCGATGATCAGTGTCACAGTGGTGTGAGCCACGCATGGCACGGGTGATGAGGACACCTCGATGATCTCTTTCTTTGACAATGATGTAGTCAATGAGATGCCAGTGTTTGGATCGTGGGAGTTACCACGATCACTTGAACTTGTCGGCCTGCCTAAACAAGGTATTGGAGCTCTGTAAGCATGTCTGCCTGATGCGGGGCTCCACCGTAGATTTATCGTTTGGGGTTTACTCCCGTAGCCTTATACCTGCCAAGGTTAATCCACAAGGCAGCGGGGCGGTGGTTGGTAGGCGCCAGGACGTGTCCATATGCCAGTGGGCCTATGCGCCGTCCCTCTGGGGCCCACTGCTACTCCGCGATCCCCTACTGGTCTAGCCTGGGCCCACGAGGCACCCAGTTATCGTGTGTTGCCACAAGGAGGCACAGCAGGAGTCTTGATGGTGAGGAGGCTGTGTACTGGCAGGGGAAGACTTATGTAAGTTGCTTCCCTGTTCACCACGAGGGCTAGCCAGTGGCGGCAGCTGGAAGCAAGAGGGAGCAAGCAGTGCCTGCACCTTAACACTAACATAATGCTGCCACACTAGACGCACTATATCACCTTGTGTGCGAACACACACACACACATACATACATACATACATACATACATACATACATACATACCCCTGTACATACATACATACATACATATATACTACACACATATACATACATATATACTACACACACATGCATACATATTTACTACACACACATACATACATATACACTACACACACATATATACACATACTTACATGGTTATCTTTCGAGTCCTCTTCTTAGGAATCTCTTTAGCCTTAGTCAGCCACAGCAACAGGGGGTCCAGCTCTGGCTCTCGATACAGCTGATGACGCATACGAAGCTCCACTGCAACATCCACTGAAGTAGATACAGGCGTTTATAGTGTAGTCATGAGATACAGGCGTTTATAGTGTAGTCATGAGATACAGGCGTTTATAGTGTAGTCATGAGATACAGGTGTTTATAGTGTAGTCATGAGATACAGGCGTTTATAGTGTAGTCATGAGATACAGACGTTTATAGTGTAGTCATGAGATACAGGCGTTTATAGTGTAGTCAAGAAATACAGGCGTTTATAGTGTAGTCAAGAGATACAGGCGTTTTTAGTGTAGTCATGAGATACAGGGGTTTATAGTGTAGTCAAGAGATACAGGCGTTTATAGTGTAGTCAAGAGATACAGGCGTTTATAGTGTAGTCAAGAGATACAGGCGTTTTTAGTGTAGTCATGAGATACAGGGGTTTATAGTGTAGTCATGAGATACAGACGTTTATAGTGTAGTCATGAGATACAGGCGTTTATAGTGTAGTCATGAGATACAGGCGTTTATAGTGTAGTCATGAGATACAAGCGTTTATAGTGTAGTCATGAGATACAAGCGTTTATAGTGTAGTCATGAGATACAGGCGTTTATAGTGTAGTCATGAGATACAGACGTTTATAGTGTAGTCATGAGATACAGGCGTTTATAGTGTAGTCAAGAGATACAGAGAGATACAGTTATAGTGTAGTCAAGAGATACAGGCGTTTATAGTGTAGTCATGAGATACAGGCGTTTATAGAGTCACAGACGTTTATAGTGTAGTCAAGAGATACAGACGTTTATAGTGTAGTCATGAGATACAGGCGTTTATAGTGTAGTCATGAGATACAGGCGTTTATAGTGTAGTCACAGACGTTTATAGTGTAGCGAGATACAGGCGTTTATAGTGTAGTCATACAGCATTTAGTAGTGTACAGTCAGATACAGGCGTTTATAGTGTAGTCAAGAGATACAGGCGTTTATAGTGTAGTCAAGAGATACAGACGTTTATAGTGTAGTCATTTATAGTGTAGTCATACAGGTGTTTATAGTGTAGTCAAGAGATACAGGTGTTTATAGTGTAGTCATGAGATACAGGTGTTTATAGTGTAGTCATGAGATACAGGTGTTTATAGTGTAGTCAAGAGATACAGACGTTTATAGTGTAGTCAAGAGATACAGACGTTTATAGTGTAGTCATGAGATACAGGTGTTTATATTGTAGTCATGAGATACAGACGTTTATAGTGTAGTCATGAGATACAGACGTTTATAGTGTAGTCAAGAGATACAGACGTTTATAGTGTAGTCATGAGATACAGGCGTTTATAGTGTAGTCATGAGTGTACAGGCGTCAGGCGTATAGTGTAGTATGAGATACAGGCGTTTATAGTGTAGTCATGAGATACAGACGTTTATAGTGTAGTCATGAGATACGTGCATGTTTATAGTGTAGTCATGAGATACAGGCGTTTATAGTGTAGTCATGAGATACAGGCGTTTATAGTGTAGTCAAGAGATACAGACGTTTATAGTGTAGTCAAGAGATACAGGCATTTATAGTGTAGTCATGAGATACAGACGTTTATAGTGTAGTCATGAGATACAGGCGTTTATAGTGTAGTCATGAGATACAGGTGTTTATAGTGTAGTCATGAGATACAGGCATTTATAGTGTAGTCATGAGATACAGGCGTTTATAGTGTAGTCATTAGATACAGGCGTTTATAGTGTAGTCATGAGATACAGGTGTTTATAGTGTAGTCAAGAGATACAGGTGTTTATAGTGTAGTCATGAGATACAGGCGTTTATAGTGTAGTCATGAGATACAGGCGTTTATAGTGTAGTCAAGAGATACAGACGTTTATAGTGTAGTCATGAGATACAGGCGTTTATAGTGTAGCGTCATGAGATACAGGCGTTTATAGTGTAGTCATGGAGATACAGGCGTTTATATGTAGTCAGTGAGATAAGCAGGCGTCTATAGTGTAGTCATGGAGATACAGGCGTTATAGTGTAGTCATGAGATACAGACGTTTATAGTGTAGTCATGATACAGGCGTTTATAGTGTAGTCATGAGATACAGGCGTTTATAGTGTAGTCATGAGATACAGGTGCTTATAGTGTAGTCATGAGATACAGGTGTTTATAGTGTAGTCAGTGAGATACAGACGTTTAGGAGTGTAGTCATGAGATACAGGCGCTTATAGTGTAGTCATGAGATACAGGCGTTTAGTGTAGCCGCGAGATACAAGCTTAAGTGTAGTCATGAGATACAGGTGTTTATAGTGTAGTCATGAGATACAGGTGTTTATAGTGTAGTCATGAGATACAGGTGTTTATAGTGTAGTCATGAGATACAGGTGTTTATAGTGTAGTCATGAGATACAGGCGTTTATAGTGTAGTCATGAGATACAGACGTTTATAGTGTAGTCATGAGATACAGACGTTTATAGTGTAGTCATGAGATACAGGTGTTTATAGTGTAGTCATGAGATACAGGTGTTTATAGTGTAGTCATGAGATACAGACGTTTAGAGTGTAGCCAAGTGAGATACAGAAGGTTTTTATAGTGTGTCATGAGATACAGGCGTTTATAGTGGTCATGAGATACAGGTGTTTATAGTGTAGTCACAAGGAGACAGACGTTAAGTAGTGTAGTCATGAGATACAGGCGTTTATAGTGTAGTCATGAGATACAGGCGTTTATAGTGTAGTCATGAGATACAGACGTTTCAGTAGTGTAGTCATGAGATACAGCGTTTATGTAGCTGCGAGATACAGGCGTTTATGTGTAGTCATGAGGATAAGCAGGTGTTTATAGTGTAGTCAGTGATGGCAGCGTAGTGTAGCTGCGAGATACAGGCGTTTATGTAGTGTAGTCATGAGATACAGGTGTTTATAGTGTAGTCAAGAGATACAGGTGTTTATAGTGTAGTCATGAGATACAGGTGTTTATAGTGTAGTCATGAGATACAGGTGTTTATAGTGTAGTCATGAGATGGCGTTTATAGTGTAGTCATGAGATACAGACGTTTATAGTGTAGTCAAGAGATACAGGCGTTTATAGTGTAGTCATGAGATAAGGCGTTTATAGTGTAGTCATGAGATACAGACGTTTATAGTGTAGTCATGAGATACAGGCGTTTATAGTGTAGTCATGAGATACAGGTGTTTATAGTGTAGTCATGAGATACAGGCGTTTATAGTGTAGTCATGAGATACAGGCGTTTATAGTGTAGTCATGAGATACAGGTGTTTATAGTGTAGTCATGAGATACAGGCGTTTATAGTGTAGTCATGAGATACAGGCGTTTATAGTGTTGGTAGCGAAAGGCAGAGCGGGGAAGATGACAGAGGAAGGAGCAGGAGGTTAGGAAGGGAATTGTAGGGGAGAGATAGTGCCGTGGCTTTACACGACTGCGTTTATTTGGTTAGCGCATAGCGCACGTATTTGGTTTTGTTTGTGTTGGGTGTGTGATCCTCGGGTTATAGTGGATTTCTCCCCTACAAACGCTGTTTGTCGCTGCGTAGCCGACCCCGCGAATTCCCCAGTGTATGCCTCGTGGTCTGGGTCAACCAGCGCCGCCATACATCACGGAGGTCAACTACTAAGCCACGCCTACCTCCCGCTATTTAAGACCTGACCTCGTGGTGATCTGTCTCTTTCTACCAACACCAACCAGCCAGCAACACCTCCTCCTCCGCCGCTGCCTGGCGGTCCTCGCTCCCGCCGGAGAGCATGGCGACCCACAAGCTGTCCTCCTCTGAGCATCCTCACCAACCAGCTCTCTCTACATCACGCTTGTAACCATGCTGCCTTCCCAGCACCAAGCTGCATTGTACATCCAATACAACATGTATACAGAAAGCACATTGTGAGTTTCCTTTCTCCATCCCATCCTGAGTGTGAACCAAACATCCCATACCCCACAGGGTCACCACTCCTCCGGATTGTGTTAGTTCCAAGTTTAGAAGCTCCAACAACTTTCCCTGAATACGAATTCGCAACCTTTCGATTTACAACAGGTACCTACTTTACTGCTAGGTGAACAGGGACCAAGGGGGCGGGCAAGAGTGTCCAAACAACTTCCGCTTGCCCGGGAATCGAACCCGTGACATCTTGCTTGCGAGGCAAGAGCGGTTCCGCTTCAACCACAAGCACCCCCAGCGTACAGCCAGCTACGCCGAGAGACTAGGTCTATGCAGTGGATGTAGGGGTACGATCGCCGACCTAGTTTCGACCTTCAACTTCCAGCTCAGGATCAGAGCGTCTCACACCTTACGCTCCCGTGATTGGCCCTCGCGCTACGAGCACCTCATATCCTGAGTTTCCTAAATCACATAAATACGGCCCCGGCTGACCGGGGAACTCATTCTACACTCGGCTACCGGACCAGCAACATCTCTCACAGCTCCTCACCACCCAGCTTCCTTGGAAAGCTCCTCGCCCTACAGGACCTCTGAGCATGCTACTCCTCACCTAGTCACTCCTAAGCATTGCGCTGTACAACAATATATATATACAGAAAGTGCATTGTGAGTTTCTATTCTACCTCATTCCTGAGTGTGAGATATATTACATGTATGGACGTTTGTGTGGCCATACAAAGAGAAAATAGACAACTAAAGAGGATTGACAACTGGCCACATACGGTACGCTACAGTGTGACCCAACAGTTAGGTTAGGTTTACTGTAGTTAGGTTAGGTTAGGTCAGGTTAGGTCAGGTCAGGTTAGGTTTAATGTACAACTTCTCGGACACTTTCTATGTTATTAAACCAAACTAAAACTGTGGTGTATAAAACTTCAAGACACAATATTAAGTCATGTAACATACCGGTAATCTCTGCCGAGGAACTCTTACGTCTCTCCCCCGACAACACGTCCTGAAAACCAGCCATTATTCTCTGCAAGTCTTCCCTCCATCTGCCGGTAATGTCGTGTCTCCCGGCTCCCTCGATCAACCACTCCAGCCAGCGTGTTATCTCGGATATTTTCTCGTCGAAGCGTTCCTGAGAGAGCGGGGCATTGGTGCAAAATTCCTCGTAAGTCTTCAGGAACGTCACCAGGAGATTCTCGACGGGCGCCTCGTTCGAGAGCTGATCTGTGGGTATGTGACGCGCGTCGTTCCAGATAGGACTGTCAGGGGGAGCCAGCGAGGGGTGACAGCACGTCTTGAGGATGGTGAACAGTAACGGGAGACTGTGTCGCGTAGGTCGCTTCTCGTGACGTAGGGCCGACAGCTCCGTCTCGGTGAAGAATTCCGTCAAGCCGCATTTAACCGCGCAGCTGTAAACGTCTGTATCCTGGGTGTATGTCTGGTGAAAGAGGTACACGAACGCCTGATGCACCGGACCGTTAAGGAGTCTGAATATCTGGAACTTGAGGAGATTTCCGTTTTCCATTTTGTCTGTGGGAGAGAAGCACTGAGTGAGATACTGCACAGCAAAACCTCCATATACCGAACTTCTCTATCCATAAAATATAACGGACCCTCGATATAATGTACTTTGAACTCTATATAGTTCATTAGATGGAGGTTTCACTGTATTGAAGTTACATAAAGTATATACTGTACCATCCTAATACAGTACTATAGTATACAGTAAAGTGAATGCATAGCCAATAGGGGTTACAGTAGTTACATAGTGTAACCACCTCGTTCAACCAAACCCTAACTACTGTATGGCAGAAAAATCGACACCAAACACATACAGAATACAAAACTGAAATAGAAAAACACAAATACCATCAGACAAACATGAAAGTGCTTGGGAACGTTGTGTTTTTTTTATTCTTGTGGTTATCAACATAATCTTGAATCATGTGGACCTACCGTGATTTATTTGCTAGTATAAATATTTTGTTGGATGAAACTGATTTTGAAGGTATATAAAAAGAATTACAATATGTGGTTCTTAAATTTGTAATCGATTGAATATAACCCCTTTTAATAAATGAATACTCGATTGCAGTAAAGAAACGAAAATAAAAAATAGAACTATATTTACTACCACAAATAGCAAAGACACAGCTAATCACATGACCATACTAGATTACTTTAAGGTTGCCAATATAACAACTAAATCAATACAGGATTCAAAAATCAAATTACATAAAACATTAAATACAACCAGCCAGCCTGAACAAAGAATACCATAACAACATAACCCGATCGAAGGCAGGAATCAACTAATATAATCAACTAATATAATCTAACTAACTAATATAATCTAATTCTAATATAATCTAATTCTAATATAATCTAATTCTAATATAATCTAATTCTAATATAATCAACTAATATAATCTAACTAACTAATATAATCTAATTCTAATATAATCTAATTCTAATATAATCTAATTCTAATATAATCTAATTCTAATACAATCTAATTCTAATATAATCTAATTCTAATATAATCTAATTCTAATACAATCTAATTCTAATATAATCTAATTCTAATATAATCTAATTCTAATATAATCTAGTTCTAATATAATCTAATTCTAATATAATCTAATTCTAATACAATCTAATTCTAATATAATCTAATTCTAATATAATCTAATTCTAATATAATCTAATTCTATAATCTAATTCTAATATAATCTAATTCTAATATAATTCTAATATAATCTAGTTCTAATATAATCTAATTCTAATATAATCTAATTCTAATATAATCTAATTCTAATGTAATCTAATTCTAATATAATCTAATTCTAATACAATCTAATTCTAATATAATCTAATTCTAATATAATCTAATTCTAATATAATATAATCTAATTCCAATATAATCTAATTCTAATGTAATCTAATTCTAATATAATCTAATTCTAATATAATCTAATTCTAATATAATCTAATTCTAATATAATCTAATTCTAATATAATCTAATTGTAATATAATTCAATTGTAATATAATCTAATTCTAATATAACACACGTATACATACAGGTACACATACACTATACATACAGGTACACATACACTATACATACAGGTACACATACACTATACATACAGGTACACACACACTATACAAACAGGTACACATACACTATACAAACAGGTACACACACACTATACATACAGGTACACATACACTATACATACAGGTACACATACACTATACATACAGGTACACATACACTATACATACAGGTACACACACACTATACAAACAGGTACACATACACTATACAAACAGGTACACACACACTATACATACAGGTACACATACACTATACATACAGGTACACATACACTATACATACAGGTACACATACACTATACATACAGGTACACACACACTATACAAACAGGTACACATACACTATATACATACAGGTACACACACTATACATACAGGTACACATACACTATACATACAGGTACACATACACTATACATACAGGTACACATATACATACAGGTACACTATACATACAGGTACACATGCACTATACATACAGGTACACACTATACATACAGGTACACACATACAGGTACACATGCACTATACATACAGGTACACACTATACATACAGGTACACACACTATACATACAGGTCCACATGCACTATACATACAGGTACACACTATACATACAGGTACACATACACTATACATACAGGTACACATACACTATACATACAGGTGCACATGCACTATACATACAGGTACACATGCACTATACATACAGGTACACATACACTATACATACAGGTACACATGCACTATACATACAGGTACACATGCACTATACATACAGGTACACATGCACTATACATACAGGTACACATACACTATACATACAGGTACACATGCACTATACATACAGGTACACACACTATACATACAGGTACATATACACTATACATACAGGTACACATGCACTATACATACAGGTACACATGCACTATACATACAGGTACACATACACTATACATTATACACAGGTACATAATACAGGTACACATATTAATCTACACTTCTCATCTTACCAGTTTATTCGTTAGGTGACGTAGATCCTCAAGTCGACGGTGGTGAGACATTTTCTACCTACAAATAGAAGCAACACCTGACCTCCCCTCCCCTCCATTCCACCCTACAGGTAGAGTAATGATAAAGAAATGATGTGTGTGACTTATTACTCCATTAATATCCTATTGTTGTTATTATAAATTAGATTATTGATAAAAGACGTAAATAAGAATGATATTGTTATGTAATGTTTGTTTATATGTGTTAGTTATAGATGGGGTTTTTATATTAATGATCGCTATATATTTTTATCCCTCTCTTTTATTCCCCTCAAATAAAACTTCCCGTGAGGTTAAATTAATAATTATTATAGAAACAGTTATATTACCAGTTAAAACGCGACGTCTGTGGAGGAAATAATTGTATATATTTGTTAATGTACCCGCCATATTCTTCCTTATATGGCTAAACTATATTTATAATATTCACACCTCAAAGTTGTTACGGCGTTCTGCTCTATATTTCATAACTTATATACAATTTAAAGCATCCATTTAGCTCAAAAGAATATGATTATTTTATATCCTATTATAATACCATTGCCTATAGCTACCTATATATAATATGGCTACAATTCAATATCTTTTCTGGGATATACAAAGCGTGTTTATTACGTCCCCGTTCAACCTGGAAAAATAATGATCTTTGTTCATCTTAGGAAAAACAAATTGAGTGTTTATAACGTCTGTGTTCACCCTGGGAAAATATTGATCTTTGTTCATCTTAGGAAAAACAAATTGAGTGTTTATAACGTCTGTGTTTCTCCTGGGAAAATATTGATCTTTGTTCATCTTAGGAAAAACAAGTTGAGTGTTTATAACGTCTCTGTTACTCCTGGGAAAATATTGATCTTTGTTCATCTTAGGAAAAACAAGGCGAGTTGAGTGTTTATAACGTCTGTGTTTCTCCTGGGAAAATATTGATCTTTGTTCATCTTAGGAAAAACAAGTTGAGTGTTTATAACGTCTCTGTTACTCCTGGGAAAATATTGATCTTTGTTCATCTTAGGAAAAACAAGGCGAGTGTTTATAACGTCTGTGTTCACCCTGGGAAAAAATAAAATCCAGAGCCTCGGCCACTCAGCTGACGAGAGCAGTAAACAAGTAGATCTTTGTTCATCTTAGGAAAAACAAATTGAGTGTGTACCCTGGGAAAATATTGATCTTTGTTCATCTTAGGAAAAACAAATTGAGTGTTTATAACGTCTGTGTTTCTCCTGGGAAAATATTGATCTTTGTTCATCTTAGGAAAAACAAGTTGAGTGTTTATAACGTCTCTGTTACTCCTGGGAAAATATTGATCTTTGTTCATCTTAGGAAAAACAAGGCGAGTGTTTATAACGTCTGTGTTCACCCTGGGAAAAAATAAAATCCAGAGCCTCGGCCACTCAGCTGACGAGAGCAGTAAACAAGTAGATTAATGTTGTAACAAAACTACGAACAAAGTTAAAATATTACTAAATCATTTCCTCTTTAAAAATATCTTATATGGATATTATACTAGATAATATGTTATAAAGATTTAATTAAAATTTTTGCCTTTAGAGCTAATTTATAATTTTAAATAAATTAATACAATTTTTGGTATTTAGCTACGGAGTTCGTGGTAGTTTTATAACATATAGAGTCCGGCAAACATGGCTGCGCTAACAAGATGTCTCCTCAAAACTAAACCTTTAGGAAGCCTCACCGGCGTCCAGTTGACTCGAGCAGCGGGCAGTGAGTAACACAAGACAAATAACACTTTTAAGACAATTATATACTGTCTAGAATAACAGTAAATAGCCGCAATAAACTTAACCAGATCCATCCAATTCTGGGTTCGGGATGTGTTAAAGAATTTGTAGTTAAACGTTAAGTCTTTTTCACAAGTTTTTAACCATATTATTTATCTCTTTTGGTTCACTGAAATACGAAGAGAACTTGATCAATGAACCATGATTCATTGATCAATTTGTGTTTCTCCAGGTGATTTAGAATAGAGTTTGAAATTGTTGCTTCCAGTAATTTAAGTATTTTATATATTATGCTGGTCAGGCTCACCGGTCTATAGTTGTTCGTGGAGTGACTATCATCCTTCTTGAAGATAGGACTCACATAAGCCACTTTCCATTCACTGGGGACCATATGTTCATCCAGGCATTTACAAAACAGGATCTTCAGGGCTCGGCAAGCTCGTTAAACAACTCTCTTAGCACTCTAGGATGCACCATGTTAGGTCCAGGACTCTTATGGACCTTTAGCCTGGACAGTTTATTTTTAATACTCTCTTCTGTGAACACTATGTGGGTCAGTGCTGTGTCGAACAGTCTGACCTCAAACGCAGGAAGGTTAGTTGCGGCCTCTCTCGTGAACACCGAGGAAAAGAAGCCAACCTAAACTAACCTAACCTAACCTAACCTAAACTAACCTCACCTAACCTAAACTAACCTAACCTAACCTAAACTAAACTAACCTCACCTAACCTAACCTAACCTCACCTAACCTAAACTAAACTAAACTAACCTAAACCTAAAACCTAACCCCTAAACTAAACTAAACTAACCTAAACTAACCTAACCTAACCTAACCTAAACTAACCTCACCTAACCTAAACTAACCTAACCTAACCTAAACTAAACTAACCTCACCTAACCTAACCTAACCTCACCTAACCTAACCTAAACTAAACTAACCTAACCTAACCTAACCTAACCTAAAGATCCCGATATTTAGACTGCCAACATTACCCCGGATGACCGAAACTTAAATATTATCATAAAATAACAAGTAATGGTCTAAGTACTGAGCCTTGGAGCACCCCCCCCCCTCCCAACCAACCAACCAACCATATATGCCGAGTCATTATTTTCTGTCGGGGATAACAAAATAATAAAAATTTTCTTCCTCTACTGAATGAATGTTAAATGTTGTATTTTTAGGTTTGGTTAAGTTAAGTTGGGTTGTGTTAGGTTAAGTTGGGTTAGGTTAGGTTTGGTTTATTTATGAGTGATAATTTTTAGAGTGTACTACAGTGAACCTCTGTTTGACTGACCATATGGTGAGGAAAGTCCATTATATTGAGGCCCCACACCTAACAGAAACTCGATATAATGAACTTCCGCTTCCATATCATCCATTATATAGAGGTCTAACACCTAACGGAACCTCGATATAATGAACTTCCTTTTTCCCGTCAACTGTCAATTTTTGTCACTTTTTTCTAGATTGGAATAAGGATTGGAAGCCCAGTCCCTTCCCTGTGACCCCAGAGGAACGAGCCGCGGCCGCCAGGAAGTACGGTCTTCGCCCCGAGGAATACAAACCTTACCCGGACGATGGCCTGGGGTATGGTGACTACCCTGACGTGCCCCTCGTGTCAGCGGAGAGCCGTGACCCCTACGGTAACTGGGACTACCCTGAGCATCGGAGGAACTTTGGCGAGCCGGTGAGTTAGCTCTCTCTCTCATGTATTTGTGAAGGAACATTTGATAATCTGATCCAAGAATGTGATACAGTACAGGCAGTGGTAGACCTTGCTGACACTCTGACATGTTAGAGTGATACAGTATATATAATTTGTAATAAAAGTTTAAAGTCTTGCTATAATGGTTGATATACCTGTAACTTTATTTCTCTAGAAACAGGACCGCCATTTGCATTGACGTCACCAGTTTCAAACTCATTGATGCAGTCAAATGCCGCGTTCAGATAAGATTTAAGGGTGTTTTTTATGGTCTAAGTCATGGACATTTTGTAATTGAAGAAATGTGCCGTGAAGAGCAGCTTCAAACATAGGTTGGATGGATATACGAGCGATAGGGGTTGGGGCTGCCTAGTATGGGCCAATAGATCCGCTGTAGTTTCCTCCATTCTTATGTTCTTTTGGACATATAAAACTCCCATGTTCACACCAGCTCACCTGTCATGTACTCTCACCTGGTAGACTTTCTCTTCTTTTTTTTCAGTACAGTTACAGAGTATATCAGTACTAGACGGAGACACGAGTAAATTTAGAAGTAATGACATTGTCTGGACTTTTTGATAATGCCTGATGGACAACATAGTGCTGTTATTGTTTTGATGATTCACTAATGAACCACTGGGATATATCATCATTTTTATATTAATTAATGGTCAACTTTTACTATAACTACCATAAGAGTTTTCATGTTTAGATTTGAGATAGACTGTGGTGGGTAAATTGATAGACTGTGGTGGGTAAATTTAAGTTTAGGTCATTCCTGTACTTACACATGGTGACTGTTTTTTCTGATGGTTTGCGATGTGTTATGAACGATTTAGACCTATATTTCTATCACAAGTCACTAGTTTTGAGTTACTACCCCCCTCCTTTACCGATGTATGTTAAGCTAACCTTATAACTTACCGTAACCTAACCAAACCTAACCTAACCTAAACTAACCTAACCTAACCTAACCATAACCTAACCTAACCTAACCTATGATCTGTTTTTCCGTATGAGATCGAAAAATGTTTTGCAACAGAAATCCCGTAGAGATAATGTGTCTTATTGTTTAAAATACTTAATCCCGTAGTTAGAATCTTAAGGTTCCCCAGATGACCAAAACTAAAATAACATCAATATTGTTTGGAATGTTTATACAGTAGGGTCGGGATATATCACCAGATAGGGTCCCACGATGTTCGCTGTACAGTAAGATCTCATATTTCGTGGGATTTCATTTCGCGTTTTTGAATTTCGCGAGCACTACCTAATGTAACCGAGTCTTATATTTGGCGTAAAATATCGTGAATTTCGCGAGATCCAGCGGGCTGAATGCTGGCCACCGTCTTGAATGACGTCACAGCCCTCATACCAGTTAGTCATTTCTGCTACTACTCGTGTTTTGTCAATGCTCATTGGTTGCAACGCGATTGATGAATAGGGGAACGCTCTTTGTAAAATGCATACAAATGATGGCTATAGCGCGATTCCATCCTCAACGTTTTAAGCGTGGTGCGGGGTTATGCAATGTTTACAGTTCACATTCAACATCACATGTTCAATTGATTCGTGTCTTTTGTCTGTGAAGTGTTCATTAAGAGGTTCTCTGTAAATTCCTTTTTTTTTTTTTTCAAAATTTAGCCGTTACCCATAAATACTGTATGAAAAGAATAAGTAAATAGAATGTTTTGCAGTGAGGACTAATGACGGTTTACACCAGCGCTCTCTGTTTTCATCACGTAATCAGTTGAATCACACGGTTTCTGTCAATTACTCCGTGATTTTCTCCAGTTTTGTTGTGTTAGCGATAAATACGGAAAGACAAGGTAAGAAGGATGTTTCCAAGAAGCGTTTTGGTGATCGAATTTCCGGTGGTGAACGCAAAAGAGGTTTACAAGAACACATTATCGCGTTGTAGCCCGCGTCATCCTAGCGACCGCCTGGGCTGCTATTGTGTGCTATTTTGGATGGTGCTACCACCTGTCGAGTCAAGATCATGGCCTCTACCTCTACTGGGGGTCCTACTGGTGGGGGTGGGACAGACTCACCTAAGCGGCCAAATAAGGAAAAGGTGAACCGGGACTATCATAAGGGAGTTAAGTTTGTCAAGTACTCGATCCAGGATAAGCAGCGTGTGATTAAGTTACTTGAGGAAGGCCTAAAAACTAGTTTCCGGAAAGCACAATCAGGTCAATAAAGGCAGAACTTGTATCATCTGGAGGTTATAAATGGAAAAATCAGAGGTTGATGTAGAGTGGCCAGTCTATATTGTTATTTTTCCCATTAGTTTATGTATTCGAATTTGGCGCAATTTTTCCAGTTTATATTACTCGGGAAATATGAGATCTTACTGTATACTAAATCATGATATATAATTACTGTAATTAATGGGGAAAATAGGGTTAGGTTCTGGAGGCCAATGAAAGTGCCTAAACTTGACTTAACGAGTTTATTTTCGTACTAATTAAAGCACCAACGAACACTAGACTAAGGAACAACAGACTGCTTTAACTTCAGTATTAATATAAAGGAACATCATACTCGGCAGCACACGCCACACTGCCACCCTCACTTGACAATCCCACACTTACATAAACCAACATCAAAAATATTAGTTACAGTATTAAATCTTTTCCATTAAGCTTTCCATTATCTTCACTTTATTTTTCACGTCACCAGAGAGAATTTCCGTGTTTTCTTCACCCATTGACCTGCCATCATACTCATAATTTTCCGACCGTTGACTCGTCCATTGCAGGGTCTCTATTATTTTCCTCACAGCACAACACACATATATTGTTTCTCACTATTGATTTTTCGTTTGTTTTATTTATGGTTCTTTATTATTATTATTATTATTATTATTATTATTATTATTATTATTATTATTATTATTGTATTTTTGCCCCCCAGGCCCCAATATAAGCCAGTGACCTATGTTTGGGCGGGCTAATGCTTTCACTCTCATCCAAAACGGACAACAAATATCAACGTTGTTATTTTTTACGTCATGAATACAGTACAGTAGAAGGGGTCTGCAGGTTATGATCTGTACGGTTCTTGAGGACGTTCTTAAGTCACAAGTGTACTTAGAGAACAGTGTTTAAAATCCCACTATATCGTAGCTTAAGTTTTTATATACATCTAAAATCACTTAATTTAAGACAAAAGAACAAACAGAATGACAAGATTCATTAAATTAATCTCCGTAAAAAAATATTGGTTAGGTTAGGTTAATGTTAGATAAGGTAGTGGGGTAATCGTCAGGTGGGCCAGTATTGCGTGTTTTGGTACATTTGTCAATAATTACAGCTTAGGGCCCATGCAGAAACCTCTCGTTCACCTTATTGGAAGTAAGCCACGTGTGTTGACTTATTGTATTTATATATTTATTTTTAATATTTATTTATTTATTATTTATCATTTATTTTTTGTTATTATTTCATATCTCATTTTTTTCATCAATTATTTAGTAACTTATTATTATTATTTTTATCAATTATTTATATTAGTTTATTTCTTATCTTTTATTTACTTTTTTTTATTATTTTCATCAATTATTTACTCTACGTTATTTTTCACCCTTTTCCCCCGTCAGATCCACGCTGACTTTGAGATGTACGGCCTCGACCGGGTGAACGCGTCCCAGAAGCTGAGATTCTCCCCAAGACAACAAGCTCTGACATTCTTCGCTGTCATGGCTGGGTTTATGGGCATTTACTTTCTCCTGGAGGATAACAAGATGCATTGGCCTCATGTGAGTACTGTCTGTGTGGATGTGTGTGTCTGTGTGGATGTGTGTCTGTCTGTGTGGATGTGTGTATCGTGTGGATGTGTATTATTACTGGTAATAATGAGTTGATTTAAAAGAAATAGCAGTTAAATTGTTGAAAATATATTATGAACAGAAGTGATTAATTACATGCCAGTGACCTGGTTTGGTTAGGTTAGGTTATTTGCATACAGCAGGCATGGGCAACCTTTACTCAGTCATGGGCCGCATTACGATTTAGGCGTTTTTCTGCCGGCTGTTCCACCAATATTTATATCCTACCTAACCCAAAATGGGGGCAGATCCAGGTTCTCAGAAGGGGGGTTCAAAAAGTTGTGGGTGGGAGAACAGCAAGCCCACCCACCCAGGGGGATGTAAGCCCCAGAAATATGTTGAAATCTGACCAATATCATGGCCAATTTGGGGTAATTTCTGGGGCCATGTGCACTTGATATTAGGAGATATTCTGAGGTCAATAGTAAATACTGTATTTATGAGACACATCCACCAGAATAATGACATTGTTATTCTTGGCATATGAGGAACCACAATGAAACAACCTATAGACAAATGTATTTATTTTACTTAATGCACAAAGGCAGAACATACCATACAGAAAACTCAGATCAGACAACAATGACCCTAAATGGATAAATAATTATGAAAAGAATATTATTGGACAAAGGAAGGCTATAGGTTGGAGAATTAATCGTGGTGAAGTTTACCTCCGAGATTATTACAAGGTATTGGCCGGTAGGGTTAAGACCGGGATAGGAAAATAAAGATGAATAATGAACTGAAGATAACAAGGGAGGCTAAAGCAAACCCCAACGGATTCTTTCAAATGTATCAAACTAAAACACGAGAAAAGATTGGACCAATACAGTCAGATACCGGCGAGCTAACTGATAACGACAGAGAAATGAGCAATAATTAATCTGAGCAGGTATTTTTCAACAGTTTTCACCACTGAAAATTTAAACATGATACCCGAGGCACCGACTATATACAGAGATAGTGAAGAAAATAGATTAAGCGAGACAGTAGTGACTAGTAACGATGTTAGTAAGCAAATAGACAAACTAAAGCCTAATAAGTCGCCAGGTCCTGATGAGATATTTGCCAGAGTATTAAAGGAATTTAAGGAAGAGCTTAGTATGCCCTAGCAAAGTTGTTTAACATGTCCTTAAAAACGGGTGTAGTACCAGAATCCTGGAGGATAGCGAAAGTAATACCGATTTTCAAGAAGGGGGATAGATCACTATCCTCTAACTACCGCCCAATCAGTCTAACATCAATTGTAGGCAAATTACTGGAAGCAATCATTTCAAACTCTATTCGAAATCACTTGGAGAAGCACAAGTTGATCAATGATTCCCAACATGGCTTCACAAGCGGGCGTTCATGTCTAACTAATCTGTTAACATTCTTTTCATCAGTTTTCGAATCAGTGAACGAGGGGCACAATTATGATGTGGTATATCTCGACTTTAGCGAAGCCTTCGACAGAGTTCCCCACAAAAGACTAATAAGAAAAGTGGAGGCTCATGGCATTAAAGGAGATATTCTAAAATGGATTAGGGTGTGGTTACAGGACAGGAAAAAGCGGGTGAGCATCTACGGCACTAAATCCCATTGGAGCAACGTCACTAGTTGAGTTCCCCAAGGCTCAGTACTTGGACCATTAATATTTATTATACATATACATAAACGACATAGATATCGGCATAGACAGCAACATAAGTAAATTTGCTGATGACACTAAAATAGGGCGTGTAATTAAGTCTGACGAGGGCTCTGCAAAACTACAGGAAGATCTAAACAAATTTTTTGAATGGTCTGAAAAATGGCAGATGAAATTCAATGTGGACAAATGTAAAATACTGAGTATAGGAGATGTAAATAGGAAACCAGATCCCAGATGAACAACGATGTTATAGAGAAATCCAACTGTGAGAAAGATTTAGGAGTAATGGTAAGTAGGAATCTTAAGCCAAGTAAACAATGTGTTTTTGCTTGGGTTCATACAAAGGAATGTTAGTTACAAGACTAGCGAGGTCATCTTAAAACTATATCTTGCGCTTTGAGACCTCAATTGGATTACACAGTTCAATTCTGGTCACCGTATTACAGAATGGATATAGAATCCTTGGAAAGAATTCAGAGGAGAATGACAAGACTAATCCCGGGCATTAGGAACCTTGAGTACAGAGACAGGTTAAAGCATCTTAATTTGCACTCCCTCGAGAGACGTAGAGTGAGGGGCGATATGATCGAGGTTTATAAATGGAAGTCAGGGCTAAACAAAGGGGACATAACAAAGGTACTCAAACTATCCAACCAGGAGCGAACTCGTAACAATGGTTTTAAATTAGACAAATTTAGATTTAGACGCCAAATAGGAAAACATTGGGTAGTGGATGAGTGGAACAAGTTACCAAACATCATCATTAACTCGGCTACACTCGTTAGCTTCAAACACAGGCTGGATGGATATATGAGTGATAGGGGTTGGGTGTAGATGGGGCTGTCTAATATGGGGCAATAGACCTGCTGCAGTTTCCTTCATTCTTATTTTTTTTTTTTTAAACCTGTATACCTGGTGAACAGTCTGCTCTATACGTGTTAAAAGTATTAATTTATCACCTCATTTACTTATGATTTAAATATTTTCTTTCCAGCTGCCCAAACAATACCCTCAAGAAGGTGTCGTCCACTACACATTTGAGCCAGCTGAGTGAGTGATGGCATCTTGGGAGACTTAACATGTAAATAACAATGAGTATAAATATGTGAATTGTAACAGCTTAATGGTAACAATAAAGTATTCTTAATTTATTGTTCCTCATCATTATCTTCTGTATAATTCCTTACCAGCTGAAGATGGTAATAAAATGAACCTTATTATTTGTCCATTATTGCCAGGTATATATGTTTTATTTTTACTTATATCTTCTTCACCACTGGTTGGCTCGTTAGTTACCTGGGCAGTTGACAATTTCACTGGAGATGTACTGGCTCTCTGTTACACACTGTTGCCATGTACTAGGCATGAACTGATTCTCTGTTACACACTGTTGGCAAGTACTGGGCATGTACTGGGTCTCTGTTACACACTGTTGACAAGTATTGGGCATGTACCGGCTCCACATGTATCTGAACCTGCTCCAGTGTTGGTCAAGTCTGGTCTTGAAACAGCTCACACTCGGTGCCGTCACAACTGTCTCTGGTAGATTGTTCCAAGAGTTCACAACTCTCACTCCGAAAAAATTTGTCCTGACAGTTTTCTGGACCTGCGGCTTCCTCAACCTTGAGCTGTGATCCATTGTGGGGCAAACATCCACCACCTCCAGGTATGGGCACTCAACAGAGTAGTGAGATGTTTGTATACCCCAATTTGGTCCTCCTACACCCATCTGTAGTACTGTACTAGTTGCCTGGAGTTAGTAGCAGCACAAGATTGGTTACCTGTACTACTGATATCCTGACCAAGAAATAATACAGTCATGCGAGCAGATCTCACACCGTCCCGACACATATACAGATTTTGGTGTCTTTACTCATTCACGATAGTGGAAGTTTTCAAAGTGTAGTTGGAGATACGATGTGATTAACCCAAGCCAATATATGTTGGGTATTGACCTGAGTATAAATCTTCACCTGACTTCTCCTACATCACAGTACTTCTTCAAGGGGTGGGACACTACAGGGGTATATTGAACCATGTAAAGGTGCTACAGTAGTTTGGTGGTGAAGGAAACATGCCTTAGAGATGGACCTTTATTCCTGATGTGTCAAAGGAATAAATACATGGTATGGGTTACTGACATATGTACCACAGCGGTAAGGCACATCTCATTTGGTGTCACTGTTGTCCATTCTAGCCGCCATCTGGGCTGTAGTGTGCGACCAGGTCACTCGGCCTGTTTGGGTGTACAGCGTGATGTAAGCTGCTTCCAGGGGTTTTCTGGTCTTCTTGTTCATGCCCTGCAGTAAGACCTGGGCACCTCTCCCACCTGGGCAGATGTCCAGCAGTGTCTATTTAGTTAACGAAGACGCTGGTTGCCCCGTGGTGTCTGAGGTCTGCACGGTGTTCTTGTGGTCTTGTCTGTGGTCTTGTGCTGGTCTCTCTGTCTATGTCTCCAAACTTGGTGTTGGGCCCCAGGGTTAGCAGTGATTAAATCAATTTTATTTAATCACTTGATTAAATCAATGATTTTTTTGAAGAAAAAAATCTGATTTTTTAGTTTTTTCTTTTTTTTTCATCAAAAATTTAATGAATAAGAAATTTTAAGGTTTATAAAAGTAAACCCTTGTATAACTTTGTGGTGGCATTAATTTAACATATAAGTCATGGTAGTTCACAGTCAATATTCGTCCAGTTTCTTAAGCTGCATCCGTTTCACGAATGGGATTACATTACAGTCATCCCCCGGGTTACGGAAATTTGCTCTTACGAATTTTGTAATTTATTTTGTGTGTATTTGTTGGTAGAATACTGTAGAGGGCGAGGCAGGAGCCAGTAGTGCCCCTCCAGTAACTCTGATAGCAGCACCTTACCTCACCTCACTCAACATCATTTGTGGTGAGTTAAATTCAAGTGTTTTGTACAGGTTTATTTATTATCATATTATATCATAAAATAACCAATGTATGTGTTGAAAAAATATTTTCATTCATAAATGTTCTTATATTACGTCTTTTTGACCAAAATATTTCTGTGTTGGTTCTTCTATAGATATACAGTCAACCCTCACTTTACGCGGTTAATACAACCCACAGGGTACCGCAGAAAGTGAGAAACGCGTAAAGTGAACAACATAACATATGGGATTAATTGAAATAGAGACCGGGCCGACCCCCAAACTCCACTTTTTGACGACACACAACTATGTTGTAGGAAAAATTTTATCTTAACTTTATGATGGTATGCACACACAATTAATATAGAAGAAGTTAGGTTAGGAAAAATACAGTGGTCCCTCAGTTAACGAGCGCCTCGGTTAACGAGATTTCGGTTAACGATTTACCTTCCATAAGATTCTTAACTTCGGTTAACGAGCAATCCCTCAATTAACGAGCTTTTTAAGAGCCGACTTCAACATGTTTTTGCTTGCATTTGCCGGTCCACCAGCTGTAGTATTACTCCGCCAATACAGTAATCGGTTTTAGGGCTTAAATTCCACCAGCCTCAGGTCTGATACTCCTACTCGCGTTTTCAATTTCGACTTTGCATAACGATAAAACACCTTTGGGTTTGACTTGACCTCGCTTGTAACCAGCCTCTGGAACTCCTTTTCAGCCCTTCTACACTCTATCTTTGCTCTTGCATACATCCTCCTGTCTTGCTCATCGTTTGACCCAACCCACGTCTTGAATTTCTGGGTTTTCTTCTTAATTTTGTCGACCGCCGCATGATTCATGTGTAGGGATCCTCTCGTATTCCTAGAAGCACTGGGTTTGGTCTTGGGTATATATTTATCGATTAAGTGGATCACTTCACTAGTTATGATATTCATCGTAGTGTCTGCGTTCTTGTACCTTAATGAGTCAGGCCAGTTGATACTGTGGGGTATGGGATATTTTGATCACACTCAGGAAGGGATGGAGAAAGGAAACTCACAATGTGCTCTCTGTATACATCTTATATTGGATGTACAGTGCAGCTTGGTGCTGGGAAGGCATCGTGGTTACAAGCATTGAGTAGAGAGAGCTGGTTGGTGAGGGTGCTCAGAGGAGGACCAGCTTGTGGGTCGCCATGCTCGCCGGCGGGAGCGAGGGCCGCCAGGCAGGAGCGGAGGAGGTGGTGTTACTTGAAGACTGGCTGCAGGTAGAAAGAGAGATAGGTCACCACGAGGTCAGGTCTTATATAGCGGAGGTAGGCGTGGCTTAATAGTTGACCTCCGTCATGTAAGGCGGCGCTGGTTGACCTAGACCACGAGGCATACACTGGGGAATTCGCGGGGTCGGCTACTCAGCGACAAACAGCGTTTGTATGGGAGGAATCCACTACAATACCACTATTACATTGTTCCTGCGCTGGAAACGTTCCTGGTGTTCCTCCTCTCCCCTAACAGTAGGTCGGTTAATTTTCAGTTCTTCGACACACTTCTTCAGAGTCCCTAGCTGCTGTAGAACCTGTACTGATCCTGCATTACTCTCTGCCACCCCCCGTGGCCCTGCTAATATGTCAGCATAACTCCTCTTAGCAACCACCTCCATTCTATCGGCTACTTCCTCAGTCTTAGCAAGGATATCTCTCCCAACTTGCTCCAGTTTGTCAACCAGCAGGGCTCCTGTAAGTGGGCCTGTATCCTCCATATCCGACGTCTCCCTGCAGTGTTCACATATCAAACTCATGGTTGTTGTGTGTGTGTGGTGGGGGGGGGGGGCAGACTGTGTAGATCTACACCTATTTAAAAAAAGTAAAGAGAAAAAATATATAAAAAAAGTCATCTGCGACTGCGTACACTGTATCTCCCTGTGAATGGTGTACGTATTGTAGGCACAGTTTCAGTCCTTGAGAAAGCACACAAACAAAATAAAAATTAAAGTCTCTGTGGCACCTATAACTCGACTTGGTTTCAGCTGGCACGGTGCCTTTCCAGCTTGCTTACTAGTTAACACTCACTTTAAGTTATTTACAACTTCCGCGGTCACTGATGACACTATGAGCCATCACCCTGTGAGTGGTGTATAACAAACACTAGAGAGATGGATAGGTAGATATAGATACTGTAGGTAGAGGGATAGGTAGATATAGATACTGTAGGTAGAGGGATAGGTAGATATAGATACTGTAGGTAGATGGATAGATGGATAGTTAGATATAGATACTGTAGGTAGATGGAGAAATAGATACTGTAGATTGATGGATAGATATATATTGTAGATAGATGGATAGTTAGATATAGATACTGTAGATAGATATGCACAGGCTGCCAAATCCACTGAACATTGCCCGTTAAAGAGAGAGAGTGAAGCATCATTGTGGTGAAGAGAAAGAGGAGAAAGATTATCAACTAAAGGAGGAGAGTTAAGACGAAATACCTTTGATTCCACCCTATCTAACAGAGCCACCCCAGATATGAGAGCAGTACTCCAAGTTAGGACGAATGAATCCCTTATATACTTGAACCAACTGTACAGGAGTGAAGTAGCTACGGCATCTGTACAGTATTACCAGCTTTCAGGAGGTTAGGTTAGGTTAGGTTTAGCTATGTTGAGGATGTGTGGCTCCAGTGATATATTAGAGGATATGGTGAGGTCTAGTATATCTATTTTAGAATTTGGCAGAATGATTGTGTCCTGAAATGTGATTGATGGGAGATCTTCTGTTTTTGGGGAAGTGTAATTGGTAAATACTGTGTTTTATTACTATTGAATTTAACCAAGTTTCTACCTCCCCATTCTCATATAGATATATTTTAATATAGGTAGATGAATAAGATTGTGTTAATTAAGCTTGACCGTAAGATAAATAAAAGCTTAAATATGTATTAGTTTTTATAGAAGCTCAACCGTACTGGGAAAAATATCTCTTGTGAGCAAAATAAATCATGTTGCTAAAATATTAAAAACAAATATTAAAAAACTTAGCCTCAACTAGAATATAATAGTCAGATTATTACATTAAAACCTCAATAAAAACAGTAATAAATTGTTTTATTAAAGAGAAAATACACTAAAATATGCTAATGGCAAGTGTTCGTGGTAATGTCTACAACATATAATGACGTCACATCCAACAGAGCCGTTTAAAATATGCTATGGCAAGTGTTCGTGGTAATTTCTACAACATATATTGACGTCACATCCAACAGAGCCGTTCTAGCGGA